TTTTTTTGTCACTGCAGCACAGGAGCAACAGGGCTGAGAAAAAGGAAAACACTGAAGCAGCCACTGCCAGCGGGGCCAGGGGCCAGGGCTGGCTGTGCTCCCCTGGGGACACCCCTGTGAATGCAGGGGGGCAAAAGCTGTCCCTTGTCACTCCAGGGGATGTGGCAGGGACCCCTCACCCTCTGCACCGAATTACAGGTGGAAAAGAGGCTGGAAAAGGCAAAGCTGGGGGAGCTGACAGGAAAGATGGAGAGAGAAAAGGGACTGGAATGCCAGGACAAAGGGGAATGGCTCCCACTGCCAGAGGGCAGGGATGGATATTGGATAAGGAATATTGGGATATTGGGAAGGAATTGTGCCCTGGGAGGGTGGGGGGAGCAGGGATGGAATTCCCTGGATCCCTGGGAGCATCCAAGGCCAGGCTGGACGGGGTTTGGAACCACCTCAGTGTCCCTGCCCGTGGAATGAGCTGAGCTTTGAGGTCCCCCAGCGCTGTGATCACAGCTCAGCAGTGCCTGGGATCCCTGAAGAGCTCCCAGCTGGGTGGCAATGCCACAGGGACACCTGTGTGACAGTGCTGGGGACACCCCGAGGTGCTCTGCCCCACATCCCTGTGCTCCCTCCGGGGACAGGCAGAGCCAGGCCAGGCCCTGCCCGGCTGGGACCAGCCCCTGGGGCACCCACCCAGCCTGGCAAGGCCACCTCGGGGTGACCGATGGCCTGACAGGGCACCCTCGGTGCCAGGGCTTGGCTCAGCTCCTGGGGATGCCCACGGTGGGCAGCAGGACAGGGGTTTCCTGCAGGACCCCTCCCCACGGATGGGCAAACCTGGCAGTAGGGCCACCCATGGGCGCCCTGAGCCTACAGCGACACCGGCCAGAGGCTCCGGAGAGCCCACCCAGCCTCTGGGATGGGGCAGGGTGGGAAAACAGCAGGAAAAGCCCGTTTCCAACCCCAGAGAGCAGCAATGTGGGATGGGGAGAGCATCACCCACCCTGGAGCTGTGTGGGGAGACCTGGGAACCATCCCAGCCCCATCCAAACAGTCCTTCCACCTGGAGCTGTGTGGGGCAGAGCTCTTGGGACCCCTGGGAACCATCCCACCCCCATCCAAATACTCCTTCCACCAGGAGCTGTGTGGGGCAGAGCTCTTGGGACCCCTGGGAACCATCCCAGCTCCATCCAGAGGCTCCTTCCACCCTGGAGCTGTGTGGGGATCCTTGGGTGGTGAGCTCAGGGACCCCTGGGAACCATTCCAACCCCATCCAAAGGTTC